GAGGTGTTTTGGGGGTTAGGGGGAGCTATTCAGACAGTTATAAGGGAATTAAGTGACCAGTTCTGAGCCGTTGGATCAAAAGAATCCAACGGCTGTGATTGAAAGACAGGTAAACGGCATCGTTTTTGGGTAGTGGGGATTGGACCGGGTGGACTGGTCTTTGGGCTTGGGTTTGAATGGGATTTTAAAATTAATTGGGCCAATTTTAAAGACAAAATACATTCTTCCTATTTTTCTTTTCTTTGTTTTTCCTTTTTCTTTTCTCTAATTTGTAAAATTAAACTAATTATCTATTTATAATATCTACAAAAATTAGTTAATCCTAAATTAATGAAGAGGAAAATACTAATCTAATATTATAAGCTAAAATGTAAACCTGAACAGTACTATTTTTTTGTGATTTTTATTTTAATAAAGCAATTAATTAACAAATTATTCCTAAAACATGAACACAAAATCTAATATGCAATGTATGATATTTTTGGGAGATTTTTCATGATTTTAACAAAAATTAAACGTGCACACAAAAAATACAAACAATTAATAAAAATACTACAAAAATCCTAAAAATTGAAAAACAAGTTGAAAAAAATTTATTTCTTCAATTTTGTAGGAGTAATTTAGTAGGCAAAAATCACATGCTCACACTAATTCCATGTCTCCACCCGTTAAGGCATAAGCACAATATGAACCTGAAATCTCATGGTTTTCTCTTACATCATTAACCATTCGGCCGTAACCTTTTGTGTATTTTGATATCTGGTTTTATCTTCCTCAACTTGTTTACCTCTACGTTCAATATAATCTAGTGTGCGGATCAAATAAGGATACATTATTATTCTCTGGATCATGCTCATTCTTGTTGGGATGAACAGTCTTCCAAGAATTGAATTAAACCGATTTTCTTGAAAAAGGCATTGGATTCAGTTACTAGGAATATAATCTATATGTTTTGTTATTTTCAGTATCTCTCGAGAAGATGCATGTATACATTCAATCTCCTCTACCCCAATTTTTCCCCTTTGATTCAATAACCTTTACTATTGCTTTACAACCCCCAAACATTCTTTTCTAAAAAAAAAAAAAAAAAAAAAAAAAAAAAATCCATCAATTTTTTCTTCCAATGATGCAACATTATCAAAGACAATAACATCAACACAATCGTTCAAACTAAATCACAATAATTGCACAAGAAAGCTATTATAAAATCCTGCCACATCGAACCAAGAAATGCACCTAAACTATAAAGCTTTATTTTTTCCATTGAAACCAAGAACCAGCAAAAATCGTTCAATCACCAGAAACTTAAGCATGACACCAAAGCACTTAAGCCTTTTGAATATTTGCTTCTTAATATAGTAACAACAACTCAATAAAATCCCACAAGTGTGGTATGGGGAGAGGGTAGTGTGTACGTAGACCTTACCCCTATTCTGGGGTAGAGAGGCTGATTCCAAAAGATCCTCGACTCAAAAAGACGAAAAGAGACAATAGATTAGTAACAATAACAAGAGAAGCCAAAAAAAATAATATCATCGTCCTAAGAGCTAGAAATTAGAGGGATTTCTTGATATAAAGATAATATGATTAGACTCAAATGATAAAGAGCGTACACAACACTATATTCTCAATCTTTGCTTTATACATCATCAATATCTTTGAGAATTCTCTATCACCAAAACAAATAGTACTCTTACCAGTCAAATTCTTGACAAGGATATCAATCAGTAGTTTCATCTTTCTATCGTCGTATAAGATGAAGTACCCAATTTTTTCTAATGTTATAATCAGAAAGATGTTTATCATTTTCAAGATGGCGACCATCTAACAACAAATGTAACCTATCCCTATAATCTCCTTTTTCTTGGACCGTTTTTATAATATTTCCAATTTCAAACGAAGTTCTGACTTCTAGGGTTATTATTTCTGCCTTATATGTCCTAATAATGATCGGATAAACTTCATCTTCTCTATAATCTCCGCGAAGACGCAACACAAGATGGAGTGTGGATTCCTTCTGAATGTTATAATCAGCAAGTGTTCGACCATCTTCGAGTTGTTTTCCAGCATAAATTAACCTTTGTTGGTCTGGAGGAATTCCTTCCTTGTCTTGAATCTTTGTTTTAACATTGTCAATGGTGTCTGAGCTCTCAACTTCGAGTGTTATGGTCTTTCCAGTAAGGGTCTTGACGAAGATTAATTTGCATATCTGTAATTGCATGCAAAGAAAAAATATTCAGCATTGTGGAAAATGATTAATAGAAAAAATGTATTTCATTCGCTCGTGTTCATGCAGGGTTGGGGAAGGGTCACACCCCAGAGGCGTATCCAAGTTGAGGGATATGGGTTCACGTGAACCCATACTGTTATCCCTAAACTATGTATAGCAATGTTATATTTCTTCAAAATTATCTAAATATATGTGTGTGAGCCCATGGTCAAAGACTGTTATGGTGCAATTATTATTGGGTGCACATCTACAAGTTAAATTGGCTGTTCAAATCCCACTCTGAACAGTCTTGTTTTTTGGCATACATACATACATACATACATACATACATACATATACATACATACATACATACATACATACGTACATATACATATATATACATACATACATATACATACATACACATACATATATATATATATATATATATACATACATACATATACATACATATAATATATGTGTGTGTATGTATGTATTCATATATTAAAGACTAATGACGATATATTAAAAATTATTGATAGATGTGCACCCGAGAGCTTCACTTCTAGTTTTTTTTGTCTATATCTTCTCAATTGGGATTCTTGGGGTCCTCGTCATTTGCACCAAATCGAAGCAAATTTATTCAAACACTTTCATTTGAAGATTTCCAGTGTCTTGCTAGCCTAACATGGCATTTTACTATAAGGTGAAGTGTAATACATTCATCCAAAATAATACTTGGGTTTCCTTGCTTGAATTTTTAGTTTTATTTTGAGGTCATTCCTAAAATTCATGTAAATAGAGAAAATCATATATCAAAGTTCAAGAAAAGATAGTCACCTTAAATAATTTTTTTTTTTTTTTTTTTTTTTTTTTTTTTTTTTTGAGATTCTTCTGACTATTAGATGAAAAAACTGTTGTTATGTAAAATTTTATTTTATTTATGTGCATTCTTTGTATATTAAAATTATTATGAGAGTTCAATTATTCAAACTTTACTTATCCTACAGAAATCGTGGTGGACAAGGTAACATTGGAAATTCATTATGGAGGATTTTTTGGATCGCATCCTGTCTTAAACTATGAAGGAGGAAGGGGAAAGGTACACTCCGTACATAATATAGATCCTGATTGTTTGTCATATATAGAACTTTTGGCTATAATGAAAGAACTTGGTTATTCTGAAAATTGTCTTATATATTATAATACACCTAACCAAGATATTGCTGATGGATTGGTGTTGTTAACTTCCGATAAAATGGTATTAGAGATGGTGAAAAACCATAAAAATATTGATATTTTTGAGTTGTATGTTGAGGAGAACTTGATGGATTTTGGAGGAAATGTTGAAGCTGCGGGTGAAATTGGCTCTTATGATGCAGGGGGGTATGGAAAAGCTTTGGCGGATAATACACAAGGAGAGGGAGGTGTATTTGGCTGAAAATAACATTGAAGAGGATAAATCAGTTGAGGATAGTGACTCAGATAGAACATATTCACCCGAGAGCGATGAAGAAAATAATTCTGAAGATGACTTCGAATACTTCGCGGACGGTGATACTCTTAGAGACTCATTTAAAGTTATGACTTCGACTCATATAAATAAACTTTTACAGAATAATCTCAACCCAGGAATTACAAGAGATATTGATGTGCCATATATTGACCACACGATAATTAAAAATATCCATAATGACTCATATTATGGAAGATCTGATGGTCTATCTGAAGAAGGTGTTCCAAGTGATTCAGAGGACTTAAGTGGTGATGATGAGACAAAGTGTGATGCTCCTAATAAAGATATTGAATGGTTTAATGAAGAGACTGATATGGAAAATCCAATATTGTTCACAGGTTGGGTTTTTCTTCAGTTCAACAATTTAGGAAGGCTCTTAGACAACATGCAATAAAGAATGGGTTTGAAGTTGGATTCGAAAAAAATGAAAGTGATAAGAGTCACTGCACATTGCAAAAGATTGTGTGGATGGAGAATTCATGCTAGCCATTGGAAAAAGACCACTGCGTTTCAGATTAAAACTCTTTATGGAATTCCCCATAGGTGCCCTAGGACATTCAAGAATAAAATTGCCAATTCTGCTTGGGTTGCCAAAAGGTTCATGAAGGATCTTCTTGATGCACCAAACTGGAGCATACAAGGTTTTAGAAGAACTGTAAAGAGAAAATGTGGTGTAATAATCTCTAAAAAGCAAGGGTATAGAGCGAGAAAAACGGCAACTGAGTGGATTAAGGGCAATTTTTATAAGCAATTTCATAGAGTCAGGGATTATTGTGAAATGGTTTTGAAGCAAAATCCAGGTTCTGCAGCATTCTTATGCCTTGACAGATATTCATTGCAACAACTGCCTTCTTTCAAGAGAGTGTTCATCATGTTTTCTGCTTTGAAAGAAGGGTTTATGTCAGGCTGTAGACCTATGATTGGCTTAGATGCATGTTTCTTAAAAGGCCCTTTAGGAGGGCAACTTATGGCAGCTATTGCAAGAGATGGGAACAACCAAATGTTTCCATTAGCTATTGCAGTTGTGGAGTCCGAGTGTAAAGAGAGCTGGACATGGTTCCTAGAATCCTTAATAGATCAAATTGGAGTGCCTGAAGAAAAAGGATGGGCTTTTATGTCTGACAGACAAAAGGTACGCATCTATCGTTTTATACATAAACTTATCTTCTTTTTTTTCTTCCTTTTTTCCATAGCTAATATTGTATAATTTACTTTGTAGGGTCTCCTTGAATCCTTTAAGAAAGTTATGCCAAATGTTGATCACAGGTTCTGTGTTAGGCATATGTATGCCAATTTCAAACTTAGGTTCAAAGATAAAAACTGAAAGACTTGATGTGGGCAGCAGCTAGATCATATACTATTGTAGATTTTGAAAAGTATATGGAATTGATCAAGAAAGAAAATACAGAAGCTCATCGATGGTTATCAAAAATTGGAGCCAACCAGTGGAGTAAGTCAGCTTTTTCAACATTGCCAAAATGTGATATGTTGAGCAATAATATCTGTGAAATCTTTAACCACTGGATTCAAGAAGCTAGAGACCAACCAATACTAACCATGTTGGAGATCATTCGAAGAAAGATGATGTGTAGGTTGCAAGAAAGATGTGAATGGATTAAAGATTACGATGGACTAGTTTGTCCAAGGATCATGGACAAGATTGAAGAGACCAAAGAACAAACTTTAGATTGTGAACAGATAGAAGCTGGAAATGGAATTTGGGAGGTTCATGAAGGGTTGGAAATATACGTGACTAAACTCAAGGAAAAGGTATGTACTTGTAGAAAATGGGATGTAACAGGTATACCATGTAGACACGGAGTTAGCGCCATAATGACTGCTCGTCGTGAACCAGAAGACTTTGTACATCCATTTTACCATGTTTCGACATTCAAGAAAGCTTATTCTGGGACAATTATTCCAATACCAGATCAATCACAATGGGAAATTGCACCGGGTGATCCTATTCTACCACCTGAAGCTTCAGATAATAAACCCGGAAGACCAAGAAAGAGCAGGAAAAAAGGTATAGATGAACCAATAAATCCCAACAAGGTGAGGAAGTTTGACTATCCTCATGAATGCAGCAACTGTCATGAGATCGGACACAATAAAAAGACATGCAAAAATCCCAGCAAGCCAAGGCAAAAAAGAATTGTTCAGGTATTTTTCTTGATTAGCTTAAGCTTTTTATTTTTCTTCTTTTTTCTTTTTATACTTGATTTGGCTTCTTTTTTTTTTGTGTGTTCAATAGAACAATGGAAGAGGTGCTAATGGTGTGAGTGAGCTTAATAAGTTGCCCACTAATCCTAGAGGTTGGGAAAGAGGAATAGAAATAGAGATAAATAATAATAGCTATGGTAGAGCAATAACTAGAGGCAGGGGAGCAACTAATTTGCAGTCCATGAATGGTAGAGGCAGGGGCAGAGGAAGAGCGAGAGGAATGGGAAAGCAAAATAAACATGGTCCATGTTGTGGAATAGGGAACTGGAATGGTATCGGAATGTCAAACATGAACCAATTTGTACTGGCCTCACAGGTAATAATAGGGTATTTTTCATACCATATGTTAATAATAGATGTTTTATCAATAATTTTCTACCCTAATTGTAACTTTTGGTTTTTAAGGTTCAACCACCTAGACCAAGTCAAATTGCTTCTTCAGCTACACAACTTGGAACATCTCAACTGCACACCTTTTGGAGATGCTATTTTCTCAACTCAAGCGTCAGCAACTGGACGAGTTGTCCAAAATAGTGTAGGAAACTCATCTAGTGAGTGGGATAGCCTCCTTGACTTTGCATCAAGGATGTTCCTTGATTAATAGTCCAAATTGTGATGGATCATCTAATTTTCTCAATTTCGATTACAATTGAAGTTCTTTGGATCACCCAATCAAGGCATATATGCGTTGGAACAATTGAATTTGCATGGTCATGATATTTTTGTAATATATTCAATGAGTGATTGGGTTTATTCCAACATGTTCATTGTTGTCCTTTAACAATTGCAGTTCTTTGGTACTTATATTTATTTAATGGTAGGGAATGAAAAATATTCCAATATGTTCGTTTTTTTAAGTTACTGGGAATGTACTAGCGCCAAAACTATTCCCTCCAAAAAGAGGGTTTATTCTGAATTTTTATTTTTAGTGATAATAGTTTTTCTTTTCCAACTGATTTTTGATTATAAGGGGGTTGCCGTTCTCATTCAAAATGTGAAGAGGGTATAGTTTCCCGAGCCTTAAAGGTTAAGGGGGTAAACTGGATTTTACTCTAAAAGTATAGTAAAAGTGTTTCGGTGGAAGATGACTTAGTTGAGGTGTTCAAGTAAACTTTCTTTGATGGTTTAAGTATTTGTCTATGTATTCTGCCAAATTTAAAATATATTATTAATCCTATTAGTCCCGTAAATTCCTTAATTTACATGTTGTTGGTAATGCTATTATTTTGTGTGAATGATTAAACGCATTAGCGCTATTTCAACTGCAGTGCGACAAATTTATCGGATGAGCCAAGCTTTGCATGTTGTGGCTACTTTCGAAAACAGCTTATTTAATTTATTCTTTTACATTTAGGGTGCGTTTGGTATGAAAGAAATGTTTTCCTAGAAAATAAAAATGATTAGTTTTATCACTTATTTTCTCTTGTTTGGTTTAGGGGTGTGCATTCGAATCGATTTATCGATAAATCGAATCGATTATTTGTTATCTGTTTATCGATTTATCGATTTTGATTTCGAAATTTTCCTTATCGATTAATCGATTTCGATTTTGTCCTCTTCGATAATCTGTTTATCGATAAACTGATAAAATATACTAAAAAGACAAATATACCCTTATTCTATCATACCCTTTCCTTTACTCTAAGTCCCTAACCCTATTATTTCCTCTACCCATTCTTTAGGAATCAAGGAGAGAACACAATTTCTTAGGGGATCAAAATGATGAAAGTGTTGAGGCTGTTGACTAGATCAATTGCAATTAAGGTTGTTTTATTGTTGTTGCTCGGCACTGTCATTGCCTCGACCCTAGTTTGGTTGGTGAGTGAAATTTTTTTTACGGAAACTATTTTTTATTGTTTCGTTAGAGAGTAAAAAATATTTTTTTATGCTTCTCTCCTCGACCCTTCACCCAATTCCCAGGTTTCCTTGCT